CCCCCCCCCCCTCCCCGCGGAACAGCTGCACCTCCCTCGCTACCTAGGCGCTCCCACTGTCCTGTCAGGAAATGCTTGTGCGCCGCTTCTAGATCTTGCCACTTCTACACCATCCCATCCTCAAGCAGCAGAAGGAGCAAGAGCTGAACCCGTGCGTCAAAAGCTATTCTTCGAGCATGCCAGACCCTCAGCGGCTCTGACCAGAAGCGGCATCACACGTGGCTCGCACCCGCTCAACCCTTCATTCTCCCTTCATTCGCTTCCCAACCGTCTTTCATATATACGCATCCTCTCGCAAGGTTTCCGTCAAGTCACAAGGCTGCCGCCAACCGTGATCCAGAAAGTGGCAACGCTCCTGCGTCCCGCCTCTCTCGCGACACGCACACGCACACGCACACGAACCACCGCCGAGAGGGCGACTGCCGTGCCATCATTCGACGCTCTCATTACCGCGGTTCATTGCAAGAGCCTCTTCGTCCACAAGGCCTTGACCCGCACCCCTCGGATCCTCATCATGCACTAGAGCGGACAGGCGTGTCTACACATCATGTCATACGCCGCGCTCAATACGCAGTTCGATCTGCCCGCTCCGCCTCCCCGGAGTGTCTTCTCGACCATCCGTCATGTCAGCGGTCGCGCTTGGTTTCCTGACTTCACCAAGGAGTCCGATCCGGCCGCCGCATTGCAAGACTTCCTTCGCATCCTCTTTTACCCGGTCCTGCGCAATAGCACGTTTGTGCAACTCAAGGTCCTTTCGGTGCTCGTCGCTATCATTGGCGTGTCGATCTTCCTCATCATCCTCCGTCGCCTCTACGAACGCTCCTTCTGGCTCTTCCGACTCGTCTCTCGCAGCAATGGCACGCTCATCGTGCCCAATGCCATCACCGCTTTCGTTGCTGTCGAGAGCGCCTTCGTCATTCTCTTGATTGCGTTGTAAGTAACGATCAGACTGACACAGTGTCTTCCGATCTCATTGTGGCACATCGGCTAATCGCTCTCACCTTCGGTCTGCGACGAAACCTCAGATGCTGGGAAGTGATCGCCTGGTTCCAGCACGGTCACTCGCCCAAGTACATCATCCTCTGGATCGGATTGACCTGGCTTCCACTCATCCTCGGAGCGTGGTGCACGACCGTCGGCATCATCTACGCGCGTCCCGATGCGCTCAGCTTCGTGTCGCCCCAGCCGGGCAAGCCTAGCAGCTGGGCACTTCGCCTCGGCATCACACCCACCGTGGTCAATGTCTGCGTCTTCACCATCCCCGTCGTCCAGACCGTCAGCGTCGTGATTCCAGCCGTGCTGGCACAGCGTCAATTCAGCATGGCTTTCGAGCACTACCGTCGCTGGTCGGCCGCGCTCCCGTCCGGCGCGACTCTCTCGCGCGAACTCCTGCTCGATGCCCAGCAGATCTGGTTCAAGGTGCTGGACGCGGCCTACTACCTCTCCATCTGTATGGCGGTCTGGGAAGCATGGGTGTGCGGTCTATTCATCTGCTATTGCTTGGCTGGTGGCTCGCTCATCGCCATGCTCCGCGATCAGCTCGAGACGCTCAAGTCGTTCAAGCAGAACCGCTCGTTCAGCGAATCCTTCGCCGTCCAGAAAAAGAGTAACCCCCTCCCGGTGCGCCGCGCAAGCGAAGTGTATGCAGCACCAGCCATGGTCCCGCAAGCCGTGGCCGTGGGAGGCGATCTCGAGAAGCAGATGTTCGGCACCTCGGATACGGGCATGCTCTCCGTTCAAGCGCCACCCCGCTCGCTCTCAATCACTTCAAATACGTCGGACAGCGCCACACTCGTCTCGGGCGACACAGGTTTCAAGCGCTCGCCGAGCTTCACCGCTCAGAACGGCAAGCCGGCCCCGGGATCGCACCGGGGCACGTCCGAAACGAACGCCGCCGAAACGGCTGCTCAGACGGCTTCGATGTACTTCACGCGCGACGAGCTCGAGAACGAGGACGAGCCAGCGCAAAGCTTCTTCCCGGCGGTGCGCCCATCAGCGTTTGAGCGTCCGACCCAGGCACAGACCGCTGCAGGCAAGCAGAATTCGCACAAGCGCTACCTGGAGAAGTTCTACTTGAACTTTGTCGTACAGTTCGCAGGGCTCATGATGTGCATCCTCTTCTTCGCCGTCTTCTGCGGGAAGCTCATCACGACCTGGTACTCGGCATGGGAGGCCAACGAGTTTGCAATGGCGCTCCAGACCGCGCTGCTCGTGGTAGCATGGGTGACGGTGGTGCTGGCGAGCGTCATCATCTTTGCCATCCTTAGCCGCACGTATGAGCCCGTGCTCTCCAACTTTGGTGCGGTGACTACGAGCCGCAGCAGTGGCAGCCGACGCGCCAGCTTGGTTCGCGCAAATAATGCTGGCTCGGGCGGCGCTCGCAAACCCGGGCGACGTCTGAGCGAGGCCAAGTCGTGGGCGCTGTCGACGCTCTCGCAGCTGTCCAGTGGCGAAGATCGACGCAGCCAGGACATTGGCTTGGACCGCGTTCGTCATGGCCGCGGAAACAGCCGCGGCGGCTCCTTCTCGGGGCCAGGGCGATCGTCTCTTCATGGCTATTCCGAGCTCGACGGGGAGCACGTGTCTCCATACGTCGAGCAGGATCCGCCCAGCCCCAAGAGTCAGCCTTTGACACTGCGCAAGCCGACGTCCAGCTCGACGCCGGACTTGCAAGCGGCGAAGCCTTCAGCGAGGCAGCCGCACGAGCCTCGCCGGCAGCGATCGTTCCGAAGCGCGAGCTCGTCCAGCAAGAGCAACAAGGCGAGCGGAGTGATGGTGGAGCAAACAGTCAGCACCATCGTCGAGGACCCGGCAGTAGAGGACTACTACCGGATCGAACGACCTTCTCGTGCAGCACGCACTTCGCCGAGCAAGTCGGATCTGTCGGAGCAGGAGATTTACACACCGCACACGCTCGATGGCGATCTGTCCACGCCGGGACGTTTCAACAGCCACTGGGCCGACAGTCCAGCCACTCCGGCGACGATCTGGACTCCTTCGACGCCGTCTTCCACCCGGCCGTTGATGGGCGCCGACGGCAAGTCACCGCAGCTGCCGGACACCGTCGATGCCGAGGGGCAGGAATGGGTCCTGCACCGCTCACCTTCAGATGCCGCTCCGCGTCCGCCGCGCGCGCGCCGACCCACTGCGGGTGACGACTCGGTCGGTCTCGGCATCGCCATGGCCACCACGCCATGGACCGCACCGTCGGTCTGGGACAGCGGCGAGCCTGATGCTGCCCTTGTACAAGAGGATGCTGAGATGCGCCTGCGCATGGCTTCACGGCCTGCTACTGGATCTTCTGCCAAGCGCTCTTGACTGCGATACCCCCCCAAAACCCCATCGTTCCTAGATCAGATAGAATGAATATCAGATAGCAACAGGACAGCCGCCTCAGTAGGCAATCATGGATCCCTTCTGTATCTTCCGTTGTGGGAACGTTGCGGGGACTGTGCCGTCGAGAAGTCAACTTCGAATTTTGCAAATGTTACACCGTAGACGTCGACAAAAGGTAAAAATCGAGGCGGTTTTGAAATGGACTTGTGATCGACTTACAGGTGGGAGCAAGTCTGTAAGGTGGCAGGTGTAGTCTCGATCCAGGCTGAATTTGGCGAGGGCCGTACGCCTCAACAGCCAAGGGGGCGAAAAAATGAATTTGGACAGCTGCAGGCGGGTTTGGCAGGGCTAGGGGCTGGGAGCAGCTGAGCTGCGTTTGTGTGTCGCAGAGGCAGCGCCTGCTCTGAGCACGGCTTGGCTTGACTTAGCCAAGGGTGGCCTTTGCGCTGGAATCGACACACACACCCGCTCGCCTCGCCGCGAGATTGTGCAGCTGGAATTCGCCCGTCCGTCCGCCCGTTGGCACGCGCGCAGCCCACGCTCGGCGTCTCCAGAGCACCTTCGCTGGGCCGTTCTCATCTTTCCTACTCCACACACCCATCACCTTTCTCCAATCGCATCCGCACCCTTGCTCTCGCCATCCGGCATCACCCCACTCGCACGCACTCACATTCGACAAGATGGATCCATCCAACATCAACACGGAGCTTTGCCCCGTCTACGCCCCCTTCTTCGGCGCCATGGTAAGTTGGTTCGACAAAGACATGCCTTCGCCCGAGCCTGCAATCCAGCGATTGGTCTGTCGTCTATCAAACGTGGATAGCGATGTTCCATACGGAAGCGGATAACGGCTCCTCCTTCGGTCGCACATGATCTGGACTCTGAGGAGAGAGTCGTTAGCAGATGCGATCGTAACCGCCGTGCACTCGAGAGGCCCAGTGTCCGCGGTCCACCTCAACAACGGGCGTGGCAGCACACGCCTTCGATCGAATCATCCAGTTGCTGACGTCCGCTTCATCACTTGTGCCCTACTCTGCGCCACACTCTCGCATTTGATACTCTCAGGGATGCACTGCTGCCATCGTCTTCACTTGTACGTACACGAGCCCAACACTCGCCTTCTCCCATCGTAGGTTTACATGGACTGTAGACACTGACATTGATTCTCCTGCCTCTCTCTCTCTGCGGCAACCTCGCTCCTTCAGGTCTCGGTGCCTCGTATGGTACTTCGAAGTCGGGTGTCGGTATCTCGGCCATGGGTGTTCTGCGACCTGATCTGTTGATCAAGTGTGTGATTCCCGTCATTATGGCTGGTATCATTGCCATTTACGGTCTCGTGGTCAGTGTGCTCATCTCGGGCGACATCAAGACTCCCATGTCGCTGTACGCTGGATTCATCCAGCTCGGTGCCGGTCTCTCGGTCGGTCTCGCAGGTCTGGCCGCTGGTTTCGCCATCGGCATTGTCGGTGACGCTGGTGTTCGTGGTACCGCCCAGCAGCCGAGGCTGTTCATCGGAATGATCCTCATCCTCATTTTCGCCGAGGTTCTGGGTCTGTACGGTCTCATTGTTGCGCTTATCCTCAACACCCGCTCGCAAGACGACCCCCTCGGATGCATGCTCAAGTAAACCAAGAGCCACCAGCACTCGGCACCTAACGATCGCGGCTCTATCTTTCTGTGGCAAAGCGAGCGCATTGACTGTCGAAGGCGCCAACGCAATCGGACAGAATCGCGGTCGGATGGGTGCAATCATCATCTCAGCAACCCTTTGTATGGAGCACGGATTGGCCCTCAGCCCACCGTGATCTGGTCGGCGCTAACGCGAACGCCCGACTTGTTCACTCTCTATCACTTCCCACGCCCCTTGCCTCTGGCTTGGTCCCTGTTTCCCTCGCACCTCGACAAACAATATACACTGCATCTTGGCCTGACTTGACCAACGCTTACACAGATCACGCTTGCTCCGCGTCAGGGCGCATGTGATCGTTCTGCCAATAACAATGCCGGGGCACGACGGGGGGTATATTGCAGCAGTCTGTGTGGGGGTTGTAAAAGAGGAAATCAGTCGAAGCGGGCGCGTTTTTGCGGCGCTGGCTCGGGTCCCGACGTGGCGGGCGGTAGGTCGACATCGTCGAATTCGGCGCCGTCGTCGTCGGACTGCTCGCTGGCGGCGGTGGACGTCTTGTTGGCGGTGTTGCGCGCGGTGCCGGACGCTGGGTTGGCAGACGACGTTGGCGGGTCAGGGATGATGAAGCGGCCGTGATGGCCGCGTCTCGGGTCGAAGCTGGGTCGCGCGCGGCGCTGTGCCGACAACGAAGACTGGAGGCCGTAGACTGTGGATTGCTGCTCATTTCAACAGATTGGGGCCAAAATAGGGTCAGAAGTATGCCTAAAGCGACGCCAACAGCGTGCCGTGGATTGCTTACGAGTCGGGTCGCCAGCACCGAGTACATGTCGGGCGCCTGATAGATCGAGTCGTTCACAATATAGTACGCCGCCAAAGGTGTTGCTGTTGTGAAAACGGCGAGCGTCAATAAGTGTCAGAACATCCGACTAGAAGGTCGGCACCCCGCAAGACGGACTTACTTTCAGTGGGCGAGGTCCTCCACCTCTTCTGAATGACAAAACACAGAGGCGGCCTTGCGTGGACTAGAACAAACTCGAGCCCTGTGAAGCGCTTGAGCTCCTGCTCCTCCTGACGTGCGCCCATGCCGCCGGTGAGGTTCTGGATGCCGTTGGCGATGTTCTGCATGCGGATCTGCTCGTTGTTGCTCCTCCGATCGAAGAACGGTGAGGTTGCAAAGTAGGCCATCACATTGTGCTCGCTAAGCGGATGAGCCGGATCGAACTTGGCTGGTTTGCCAGCAGTGCCAGCATTGCCAGCGTCGGGAGCGACGAGGCCCTGCGCCTGGAGCTGGGAGAGGTAGGTGAGGAATTCCGGGTTCTTGAATTGGACATGCAGCAGGTTCGGAGGCGCATCGGCGGGCGTCGCTGTGCCAGCCAGCGCTGGAGCGGCCATGTCGGTGACGGCAGCAGCAGCAGCAGAGCGTGGGCTCAAAGCAGGGAACCTGAGCTGGCAAAGGTGATGACAGAAGAGACTGTGAAGCGGACGAGTGTAGAGCAAGAGCCAAGGTGGCCGTGCGCCGAATCGGCGGTCGTGCCGATGAAATGATTTTTCGGATGTGCCGTCCGAGGCGCCAGAAGTTCCTCTGTCATGCGGCCGGAGTTATCGAAGGCAGCAGCAGCCGGCCACGCCCCAAAGTGTTGCTTGACCGGCAGGGACGCGTAGGTGCAGCTGCCGGAAGATCCTCGCAGTCATCACTGTGCGTCGAGACGTGCAGCTCAGCGCGAAATCCAAAACACACCTCGACCGACACGTTCCTGACTGCTTCCTCTCCATCATCTTGGCTTTCTCTCCCCCTCGCAACCTCGATCAACACCATGGCGTCTACATCCAACCTGCAGTCGCGTGCCAAGGGCATGCACTCGGAAGCGCTCGACAAGTACGACGACCTGCACGAGCCCATCCCCACCGAGGAGCAGGAGAAGCTGCTGCGCGAACTCAAGACGCAGAACGACAAGAGCAACTACTTCTACCGCGCGGCGATCCTCTTCATGGACCTGCTTGTCTTCATTGCCTATCTCACGCCCATCCCGTCGTACATTGATGGCACGCATCCGGAGAACCACCTCACGCTCTTCCACCACGGCGTCCACGTCATCGGCACCGAAGACCACCTAACCTACCTCCCCGCGTTCCCCATCTACCTCTTCTTCTTCGCCTGCCAGGGCTACCTTCTCTTCCTCGCCGCCTTTGAGCTGCTCTCGCTCATGGGCCACGATGACCTGCTTGCGCGCCTCTCGGGCCGCTCCGCCGCAGCCTACCGCTCGCATCCCTTCGGCACGGCGCCCAGCTACCTCATCGGCTCCCTCTCCGAGCTGCGCTGGTCCACGGGCAACAAGATCAACCTGCACGAACGCGCCGACAAGCCCGCCAAGATCGGCGGCGACTCCAAGGCGGTTCACGCGAGCCTCTCCAACCCGCGCCTCATGTACCTCTGGATGGTCTTCCTCGCCAGCCTCCCGCTGCCGCTCCTCATCTTTGGCGCGGGCAACTTCTCCAACGCCGGCTGGTTCAGCTTCACCCCGGCCGTTATCGGCCTCATGCTCATCTCCGAAACCTCCATCCGCAGGTCCGAAAACCAACTCCTCGGTCTCGACGGCCTCAAGTACGACCACAAGTCGGCATAACCCCATCCAATCCCCACAAACGACCGTTCCTTTAAAGCATTTCACGGAAAACACAGTTTTGGCTTCATGCTTTCCGTGCCCTCGCTGCCTTGTACGTACACACACATTGCACATGCCATGCATCCATTTCACGGGCCCTGCCATTCCTCTACTCGCATCTGCCGACTCAGTACGGCGGCTGGTACGAGCCGTAGCCGCCGTGCTGCTGCTGATACTGCCCTTGCTGGGGCGGCGGCGGCGGCGGCCTATTCGCGTTCGGCGGCGGAGCATATCCGTGCTGCGGGGCGCCATAGCCCTGATGCTGTGGCTGCGGCGGAGGCGGCTGTCCGTAACCCTGGCCGTGCTGCCCATAGCCCGCATTCTGCGCTCCATACCCACCGTAGTGCGACGGCGACTGCGGCGGAGGCGAAGCGTACTCCTGCTGGCCGTATCCTCCGTATCCAGGCCCGCTCGGAGGCGCCTGTCCGTAACCTCCATGCTGCGGCGGATGCTGTCCGTACGAGTGCTGCGCAGGCGGCGGCGGCGGCGGCGAAGTGTACCTCGCCTGGCTGGGCGATGTCGGTGCAGGGCTGAAGCTCGCCTGGAATTGCTGAGGCGGAGGCGGCAACCCGCCTGAGGCAGCCCTCGGCGGCTGAGCATGCGCTTCACTGCCGTAGCCAAGCTGGCCGTACGGCGTGCCTCGCTGTTGGGCTACTGGCGGCGCAGGCGAGGCGCGCGTGTCGCCGAACGGCCCAGTTGAGAACATGGACTGGTAAGGGTCGTGAGCAGATGCGCCTCCCGCCGGCGCTTGCTGATACGACTGCTGCTGCGGCAGAGGCGGCGGAGGTGGCCCCGGCGAGCGCACCTCCTGAGGACCCGCTGGGTAGCTGCCGCCATAGCTCGTCTGCCTGTGCGGAGGCGGGGGCGGGGGCGGACCACCCGCACCTGACGGCTGGCCCAAGCCGCTCAATCCGGCCATCGACGACGCCAATCGATCCGCGCTACCCGCGGCGGCCCTCGTGTCGGATCCCTTCTCCTCCCACTCGAGTTCCGACGCCAGCCGCGTCCTCTCCGTCCTGCGATCCGTGCAGAAGCGGTTGACTCTGCTCTTGGTTTCCCGCACAATCTCCTCCAGATCCGAGTAGAACTGCACGCCCTTGGCTACGCCCGCCCTTACCTGCGCATTCGAGTCCCTCGCCCTCCTCAACCGTGCCACGAGCTGGTTGCGCGCCTTCTCCTTCTCGTCCCACCTCGCGCCCGCCGCCTTGGACGCCGGCAGCTCTGAGAGCTCCTTGAACGCCGTTTCGATCTCGCCCAGCAGCGCCTGCTGATGATGCAGGCTCACCGCGATCCGGTTCTGGTGCGGCTTGAACTTCTCCAGCTCCGCCGCAAAGATCGACGCATCTACGTTCTGCGCGCGACGGTTGAGCACGAGCACCTGCGAGATGTCGTCCGTCTGGATCTTCTCCTTCAGATCCGCCAGCACCTCGGAGCGCTCCTTCTTGATCTTGTTAAGCTTGGTGAGCGCCTCGTCGATCTGGCTCAACTTGGCCTTGACTGCTGCGACGTCGGCCTCGGACGCCTGTTCCTCATCGGCCGAGACGTCGATCAGCGAGGTCTGCGCGCCTGCACCGCCATACAGCCCCGTCTGGCCCGTCAGCGCGGCTGCAAAGGCGCCTTCGAGTGCGTCGCGTCCAGAGACCAGGAGCTGAATGTCGCTGCGAATCGAGCGCCACAGCTCGCCGATCTGCGCATCGTTCTGCGACGCCTGCTGCATGGCCTCCTTGTTCTCTCTAAGGCTTTGGCGCATGTCCTTGGTTTGCTTGAGAGAGGGCTCTTGGCTCCACTTGTGTCCGAAGCGCACGCGCTGCTTTTCGCATTCGCGGTTCTCGTTATCAAGTTCAGCAAGCGCATCGTCGATCGTCTTGGCGGCTTGTGTCTTGATGCTCTCGATGCGATTCAACGCCGAATCAATGCCCGCAGCACCGACGCCGAGCCCGTCAGCACCGCGCCCGCCCCCGCCCTCGGCTTCCTCGTTCGACCAGCGCATCACTTCGGCGCCGGGATCGGCGAGCGAGTCGAGCATAGCGCCACTGCCACTTCCCTGCGCGATCGCACGGTACTTTTTCAGGCTGCCCGGCAGGCCGAGGTACTCGAGTGTAGCCTGCAGCTCGCCCGTTGCGATATCGTGGCGCTCCGACTCGGCTCGTGCGATCTTGGCCTTCTCCTCCGAGTACAGCGACGCCTTCTCGTGCACGCCCAGCGGCACAAGGTTCTGGAACAGATCAGGACCGATGACGCGCTGTACTTCGGGAGCCGCAAAGATCTCCTGGATCGCGATCGGCGTCGCCGCAACAAGCTTGTCCACTGCGGGAAGCGACGATTCGGAAGGCAGGATGTCGTGGTAGATCAGGTCGTTATCCTTGACGGCCGTCTCCTTGCGCTCGGCGCAGCGAGTGACTTGAGCATTGACGACGGCGGTGAGCGCTGAGCCCGCGTCCGTGGGAAGCGACGGGCGATCGGCTGTGGCTGTGGCGGCGGCTGCGGCGCTGAATGTGGTGAGAAGATTGCGCGCCTCCTTCGCTGCTGTCTCTGCCACGGTAAGACGCACAAGGCATGCGCCGTGCGATCCAGCTGCATCGTCCGCCAGTGCCTTGTAGTAGTGCATCACCGAGGTGAAGTGCTTGGCCTTGACCTGGATGAGATACGTCCAGGAGCGCTCGAAGATTCCCTTGGTGAGGTGTTCGCGCGAGTCCTCTACGAGCGCCGTGTAAGCTGTCGCCGTTTGACTTGCGAGCTTCGCGATGAGACCTGGCCCTTTCTTCTCCTCGATGGTCTTTTCAAGGAACACCTCGGATGCCTGGGCGAGTGTGATGCCGACGAGACACTTGACGACGTCTTTGCTCATGTCGGTGCTGGGCGCATGGAGGAAGTTCTCATTGATGTAGCTGAGCATGCCTGCCGCCTGGCGAAGTGCGGTGTAGGCACGTTTGAGGCCTTCGGCGTTGCCAGGCATGCGTGGCTGCGACGAGGCTAGGGAGGAGAGCGTGGCGGCGATGTTGAAGATGATGCTGGCCTTTTCATAAGCCAGGCTGGACTGCGAGATGGCCTTTTGTGTGAAGGCGTCCTTCCACGGGAATGGCACGCGCAGCTCAGGGAAGCGCAGCTCGAGCATCTCGAGCATGTGGAACCACTTGAAGAGCAGATCGCGCCCTGTCGCGTCCGAGGCGGCGCCCCTGACTGCATCTTGGCGTGCGCGATTGAGCTGTGAAGTCTGCTCAGCGTACTTTTTCGGTTCTTCTCCGTAGCTGTTGGCGATGAGTGAACGAACCGCCGAGCCGAGATCCACCTCCTCGGTGGACTTGAGCGGGAAAAGCAACAGAGGAGACTGGTGCGCGTCCGACATGATGGCGGGACAGGTAAGTCTGCGACCGCTGGTTCCTCGGAGATCGGCGAAAGAGCGACGTTAGATGACGAAGAAAGAAAAGAAAGTGGATGGATGGGAAGTGCGAAGAGGTGAGGATGATGAGGCTGAGCTGAGCGCGGTTGACTGGCTAAAGCTGAGCTCTCTGGATCGGCACGAGGCGAACACTGCGGAGCCTCCAGGGTGGGGTGGAGTGGAGTTGTGCTGCTTGGCGGACCGATTTCCACACAGCCCCTTGGACCTCCACGCGGACGACGGACCGTGCGCGCATCAGTCTGCCTCCGCGCCGACTTGCGGAGCGGCTCAATTTCCAACATCCCGCAGCGGTCAGGGACGGTGCCCTGACATTGCATCCTCGAGCTCCATCTATCCACCGACATTGATTAGGTGCTCACATGAATCTTTCGAACGCAAGTGCGAACAAGTGTTCCGAATTAGAATCGTTGCGATTGGGATACAAACGTGATCTATGCGGGCGATGGGGGTCCCAAAGATCAGGACTTTACTGTGAGGAAGCTCAAGCCGCTGCCGATTGCCAATCCAACGCAGAGCCAGAAGGAAAGCAGCGTGGCAGCGAGCGGGCCTTCGCTTGCTCCCTTTGAGTTGACGAGCTTGCTGCGGGATGGGCCCGAGATCATGATGCAGGTGCTCACGAGGCCATTGGAGAAGCCGAGAAGGAGCATGAGCCCGAAAAAGGGCGCGTCGCTCGACTGAAGCAACGCCGACAGCCAGCCGAGCTGCGCGTCTTGGCCCGCACGGCTGATCGGTCCCGTCCTCTGGCTGGTGGATACGACGTTGCACGCCATGAACAGTGGGATGAAGAGCGAGCGGAGGAGCGACAGAGAAAACAGCGCGCGTGCCTTGCGGATGAGCGCGCCGGGCACTACACTCGGCAGCGTCCTGCCGAGCAGATCCGAGATGTTGAACAGCAGGAAGTGGAAGGGCACGAACAGCTGTGGCGACGTCAGATCCACCGAGCTTGCAGCAGGTCCCGATGAACCCGTGTAGACGCTCTGCACCGACGAGGTGAGCGCAGGAAAGAGGCTGAGCGTCACGACGAATACAAACGCGACTGCAGCACAGTCCCACTTGACCTTGGATTGGACGAGCGAGATGCGCAGCAAGGACTCGCGCGTGGATGGCGCAAGTTGGTAGAAGCCAGGCACCTTCTTCAGCCACGAGCTGTAGGCAGGGTGGGAGATGGAGCGCACCGAATGCCAGCTCTGCGTCATGAGATGCTGCGATCCACCCAAACGCTCGTCGTCGTCGTCATGTCGCGAGTCTCCGTC